GCTGGGCTCCCAGCTGAGCCCTGTTCTGCAGAGGAAGATCCTGGGGACAGGCTCCGTGCTGTGGGCCCCAGCTGTGGGGCAGCTCTGCAGGATTAATCCACTGGTACGGATTCACTGGGTTTCACTATAGGAGGGTGGGGGTGGCTGGAGGAGGTGGATCCGGGCTCCTGGCCCCTGGGGATTGTATTTTGTCCCTGATGAGCAGGGCTCTTTCTGCCCTCTGTCACCTAGTTCTGGGCTGCTTTCTTTCACCGTGGGGTTCAGCCCCACCTCACGCCCAGAGCAGTGGAGGCAGCCCATGATGGCTGACTTGCGGTACTGGGGATCCAAGGCAGGGCCGTCTCACATGCTAGGCCAGTGCTCGACCTCTGAGCGACATCCACAACCCTTAAAAGGAAATTGGGGAGGACTGGGAATTGAACCAAGGTGCCTCTTACCACTGAGCTACACAGACCCTGTCCCCAGCCCTTTTTATTTATTATTTTTGATGTAGGACAGAAGAGACTGGGCACCAAGGAATCTTCAGGAAGCAGGTTTATTGGCTGCAGGGCCAGAGGGCCTACCTCCTAAAATTCTCTGAAAATTCTTCTAACTTTATATACAGTGGGGGGTGGGGGGCCGAGGTTTCCATTTTCGTAGGAGTCTACTGAACAGTAACACACACACACACACACACACACATACACACACGCACGCACACACATTTTTTGAATTCATAGAAAGTACTCTTTTTTTTTTTTGGTCCTATTTTTAAGATTAGTCAGAGGTTTTACAAGTTTTACCACAAAAGCATCAAATGTGTGTGGTGAAACTTAGCTTTTTCAAGAGAAAGCAACTCAGAACTCACAGAGAATAGGAAGTCCTAAACCACATTGAGTTCTTGACAGAAATTTTTGCTGATATTCTATTAATAAGAAAAATCTTGGTGATGGTCTTTGGAGAAGCTCAATAAAAATTCTTGGTGGAGGAGGGGGCACCATTACATTTTGAGACAGGATCTCCCTAAATCGCCCAGGCTGGCTTCAAATGTGCAATCCTTCTGCAGCAGCCTCCTGCGTTGCTCGGATTACAGGCATGAGCCACCTTGCCCAGATGTACTGCATCTTTTTCTTACTGATCTGTGTAAGCTCTTGTTACGTTGTGTGTGGTTGGTCTCATTATGTTGCCCAGGCTGGTCTTGTTATGCTCGAATTCGGGACCCCCAAAAGACCACCAGAGACCAAGATCAATGTAAGTAGCAAAGAGGTGTTTATTGCTAGCTAGCTCGGTCCTCCGCGTGCGCACACAGCAACTGGTGACGCTGAGAGGCCCAAGCCCAGGGTTGCAGCAGTTTTATACACACCACGGGAAAATCAAATAACAACTCTAAAACATGATTTGCACATTCACTGGCGGGAACAAGTTGGGTAGGGGTGATTGGTTAGTACAAGAGGGGGATTCATTTGAACTGATTGGTTTAAGCCAAGAGGGGTGTTCGTGCTGAACTGAACTACATGGTTTCCCAACACCATAAACTACTGGGAGGGTCATCTGGCATCCCAGGTATTTCCCTGTCTCATGCTGATTGGTGGCTGCTAGGGGGTTACTCTGGGTCCCCACCTAGCCTGACTGAGTCAGGGACACCTGGGCAGCAGATCTCTCCTCTTATTTGTAGATAAACAACTTAGCAGGGTGGGAATGTGCCTAGGAGTGCTCTGTGGGTCTTTCCAAGGACAAAGGTCATGTCCCTTCCTTGGACAGGCTTTGCTCTGAGGTAGAGGCTGGTTTTTCAACCCATGCCAGGTGAGTGCGCTACCACTTGAGCCACGTCCCCAGCGCCTGGAAATTTCTTTTTCGGTGCTGGGAATCGAGCCCAGGCCTCGTGGGTGCTAGGCAAGTGCCCTGCCACCGAGCTGTACACCCAGCTGGAAGATTATTTTAAAAATTAGATTTGCAGGGGAGGATTCGCACTAGTCCACCAGCTTCCTGTCATTTGCTCTTGGGGCTGCTGAGCTCCTGCTCCTCCATATTGGCCAGAACTTTCCCTACGTTCAGCATTCCCTAGGTTTCCTCCCACAGAGCCTTCCGGTATACCTTGCCTCCTGGTGTTAGACAGCCTTTGAACTGGCCTTGTACGCTGCAGGGCCCAAGGAACTGGTAAAACACCTTCCTAGTTGCTATTCACAAGGGATTTAAAGATCTTTTCTGCACTCCTGAGAAATGGAGATCATTATTATTCCCATTTCTGTTGAAGAAATTGTAGTTAAGAGACTGAGATATACCCACACAGAAACCGCTAGAATGTATCAGAACAGGGATATAAATAAACCCTGTTGATTCTCTGCTCTCATGTTGCCTCTAAAATGCCCTTTTATAGCAGAGGGATGTCTGGGAAACATGCTTTTCTGTATAACAAATTTAATTCTCTATTTTTGTGGTATTGGAGATTGGCTCCAAGGCTGCTGGACCACAGAGCTACAACCTTGTTACCGCTGTTGACCGGTGACAACCCTTGGTCCCCTGAATGCTGAAGTATAACACCAGAGAAGCACGCGGAGGCAAGTGGAGAGTGGAAAGTAGAAGCTTTATTAAGGACAGCAGAAAAGACTTCTCCCCGAGGAAGAAGGGGACCCAAGGAAGGGGGAGGGCAACACTTTTCTATAGCTAAGGTCTTGTTTCAGCTCTCCCACACTCACATCTTTTGTTTCCTTTTATCTTGCAGTGATAGAATGCAGGTGCGAAGGCCCAAAAGGTGGGAGGTAGGTGGACTGGAGGAGTAATCTGGGCAGGAAGGGCCTGGGGCGGCTTTTGATTAGAATTTCCATGTTTGCTGGGAGCTGCTTCATTAACAGTTTCTTAGGATGGGCTCCGGACCTTGGGGACATTAACATTTCAATTTCCCCAAAAGCTGCTCTGTTTTCCTGGACTCCTTTCTCCATTTTCTTTCTACACTACCTACCTATCTGTAAATCTGGCTTTATCCTCAGCACTGGATTGTGGGCCTGCACCACCGCCCCGCCCCCACCCGGGTCATGCACTTTTATTATGAATCAAATACAAGTATTTGAGTAACCCCAATGTGCTGTTGTAAGCACATTACTTCCCACCCCCCAACAGCCTTCAACCTAGGTGTTATTATCATCAGTTTACACAGAAGGAACCTGAGACCCAGAGAAGTGAGGTGACTTGCCTGAATGAAGCCACACACTTGGTTTGGGGAGTTGAGATTGAGATAATTCAGGTTTCAGTTTTAAATTCCCTACTGGGCCAGGCTGCTGCTGTTGCTATTCATGTATTTATTTTGCACTCAACCACTGAGACACATCCCCGGCCCTATTTTGTATTTTACTTAAAGGCAGGGTCTGGCTGAGTTGCTTAGGGCCTCACTAAATTGCTGAGGCTGGCTTTGAACTTGCAATCTCTGGTCTCAGCCTCCTGAGCCCCAAGATGTTTGGAATGCACCTGACTGCTTCCTTCCAACAGAGGGGATTTTAGAATGCACACAGTTACTTTTAGGAATGCTTCACAGATGAGGTGACCTTTGAGGGGCCTCTTACTGTTGTATGGTCAATCCTAGTGTTGTAGGGACAGACAAGGCAAGGAGCCAAAGATAGCAGGAAAGAGTTTTATTAGACTGCAGCCAGGTTCAGAGGCACAGCTTTTTCATAATCAATCCCCTGAACCCCTAGTCTAGGTTGTTTCGGAATTTTATACCCAGCACGGAAGGGGAGGGGCTAGAAGTCCACAGTCTGCAGAAGTTCACATAAAAGCACCTTTTTTTTTTAAAGATAGAGAATTTTTAAAATATTTAATTTTTAGTTTTCGGCGGACACAACATCTTTGTTTGTATGTGGTACTGAGGATCGAACCCCGGCTGCACGCATGCCAGTCGAGCGCGATACCGCTTGAGCCACATCCCCAGCCCTAAAAGCAATTTTTTCTTTCACTGTTCTGGGCAAGTTATACCTGAGAAGGGGAGAGCTTCTTCTCCATTTTCTCTCCTCCCCTTCCAGCTGTTCCCATGGAGCCCAGTTGGTAACTTCTTTTATCTTAGAAATGTGGACATCTCTGTGAAGCCCAGATCAAGGCCAGAGGCCTGGTTTACACATTTCTACAAACTACTACACTGGATATGTTTGTGAAAACCTAGTAACGGGGTGTCCAGCACCTCCAGTGCCGATTTCTTCCAGGCTAGCATCCAAGTAAAATAGGGCGACACGAAAATAGGAAGTTTATCTACATTGAACTCTTTTGCTGACAGTCCCAAAATCAGCCATGGTGAAGATTCTGGAGAAGGTTAGTTAAGACTTTTTGTGGAGGAGAGGGTGCCACTGCACTAGAGGTAGGTGCTACCCCAGCACTAATTTTCCAGGCTGGGCACCTGAATGCTGGGGGAGGTCAAGGCCACGTGGCCAGGGCTGGTCATCCTCCTCCTCTGCCTCCCACTAGCTGGGCTCAGCGTCCAGACCCTTCTCAGTCTCATTCCCAGGCCTCTGGGTTGCCAGAGTGGACCGAAGAGCATTTCCTGGGATCTAAGCTCCCCAAGCAAGGAGGGCAGTAGTTGCCTGATCCGGAAGTAGTTGCTGAGCTTGCCGCTGCGTCTTCGGTTGCCAGGGCGCCGCCCCGGAAGTGAAGCGCGAAGCGGCCCAAGCGCCCAGCGGCGGCGGGAGGCGTCCTCTCGTGGGCGCCGCAGCGGGCGAGGCGGGGCCAAGGCCGCCCTTGGGCGCGGTCCCAGGTGCCAACACCCAGGGCTGGCCCGCGCCTAGGCCGCCGCCTCCGGGCGCCGCGGTGCGGCCGGGCGCGTGTGCGCGTGCGCGGGCCTCCCCCTCGCCTCTGCGGCCGCGGCCGTGCGGTTGGGTGCGGCTCGTCCGACCCGCGTTCTGCAGGACCGTCGCGCCCGCCGCCGCGCCGCCGGCCTCCCGAGTTCCTGCGACCTGCCTGTGCCTTCCGATTGCTGTAATTGCATCTTATTCTTGTCCCCCCAGGCTGTCGTGGTCCCTGGCCGTCGGCGTCGGTCTGCAGCCTGCACCGTTCTCGCTGGCATCTTTTGCAGGGAGCATTGGCAGCACTTGTGTGGAGGGGACGGGAGCCTGTCGTCCCCTTCCTGCCCGTTTTTTCTGTGGGTGGGGGGACCGGACCACGACGTTTCCCTCCCTGTTCCCAGGGCGGGGCAGGGTTGGCCCTCCGCCGTGGGGAGTGGCGGGGCGTGTGGGAGTCACCTGGCTTCCAGTCCTAAGCCTTTTTGGAGTTCGGGAGCAGGTTCTTTGTTTGGGAAACATTAATGGGCAGGTTACAGTGCTGGCTGGTGGCAGTTAGGAAAGATAGGTCCTGCTGTCCCCTTGCTGTGCAGCATGACACCATCACCCAGTGGGGACGTGGAGGGGCACGGTGACACACAGCTGTGGACACCCTGTCGGTGTGTGACCATCATTTACATCGTTATTAACTATTCAGGATGGCTCTTTTCTCCCCTTCAAAGAAAGCTTGTTGGACCATTTTCTAATGGCTGGACCCAGGAGGGTGAAATGATTCTCAGGACTGTAAGTTCCCCTGCTTGCTCTTCTTGCACTGTTGCCTTGGCTTTCATAACTGCCTGCTGGCAAAGCGGCTGACCTCCTGGGGTTGTAAGCTTGTAGTGACAGGCAGCTGTCCCCCAGGTCCCAAGGATTCCGCTCCACCCCATCCTTACAGTGCATGCTGTAGTAACACTGTGTCCATGACTGGTTGATTCTTTTTTTCCCCTTTACACTGGAGATGGAACTCAGGGCCACATTACCACTGAGCCACATATTCAGTCCTTTTAATTTTTTTTATTTTGAGACAGGGGCTCACTAAGTTGCTGAGGGTCTTGCCAAATTGCTTAGGCTGAACTCAAGCTTGCAATCCTCCTGCCTCGGCCTCCTGAATTGCTAGGATTACATGTGTGTGTCACTGTGCCCAGCTTTATGGGTGATTCTTTTCTTTTTTTTTTTTTTTAAACACAATGCCTTTATTTTTATGTAGTGCTGAGAATCGAACCCGGGTTCTGCCCGTGCTAGGCGAGCGCTCTACCGCTGAGCCACACTCCCAGCCCTATGGGTGATTCTTTACTGGTCTCCCTCTCTTAAGAACTAGCAGCTGCTGTAGAGTTGGACTTCACCTAATTCACGTGGGTTTGCACAGATAGCACTTGTTTGATCGTGTGCAGAGGGAATTCATTTATTTTTGTTAATTCATCAAATGTTTATTGAGTACCTGCTGTTGCTAGACACTGTTCTGAGTGCTGGGGATTCAGTAGAAGGTAAGGCTCTCATGATGGTGATGTGTCTGTTGAAGAAGGATGATCACCAAATACCTGAAAAATAGACCGATTAACTTCCAATTTGCGCATGTATAGAATCTCCCAATAGCTCAAGACAGCTTCTTGTCCTAAAGAGTCAATCAGCACATCATTGTGTGACGCTCACAGATCTGTCTCACTTCATTTCTTCCTTTTGTCTGTGCTTTGGATGGAACCCATGGCCTGGCACATAATAGACAAGCACTCCACTGCAGAGCTACACACCCAACCCTAAGAACCTGTTTCTAAAAAGTGATGCCAGTCCTTGAGCCATGCCTTAGTAGCTCTGGACTAAACCAAGCTATGGAGAAAGTACAGTCCCACTTATCCATGCTTTTAATACGTGTGTTTAGTTGTGGTCTGAAAATATTAAGATAGAAAATTCCAGAATAAACAACTTGTAAGTTCTAAATTATATGCTGTTTTGATTATTGTGATGAAATCTGTCACACTTTGTTCAAAGTATCCATCCTGTATATGTTACCTGCTCAGTAGTTACTTGGTATCCATCTTGGTTATCAACTTTTTTTTTTATGGGGGGGGCTCTCACTATGTTGCCCAGGTTGGCATCTCACTCCTGGGCTCAAGCAATCCTCCTGCCTCAGCCTCCCAAGTATCTGGCTATAGGCGTGAGCCACTGCACCCAGTTGTCAGTGATTCTTGAGGTATTGCAATGCTTGTGTTCAAGTCACCCTTATTTTACTTAATATGGTCTCAAAGTACCAGAATGGTGATGCTGGCTGTTTAGATACGCCAAAGGAAAGCTATGGGTGCGTCCTACAAGTGAAAAGGTGAAAGTTCATCCAGGTATATGTGTATAGGAAAAAACAGTATAGGGTTTGGTACTGTGTTTGGTTTCAGGTGTCTACTGGGTGTCTTGAAATGGTCCACTGTGACAATGTGGTAGTTTTGGATGGATACAGATTGGGTGGTCAGGGAAGGCCACTCGTGAGAGGTGCCCTTTGGGAAGGGGCAGCTCTAAGGGACGAGCGAAGCCTTCAGACAGGATGCCATGTGGTGGGTGTAGGAGCAGAACAGCAGCCAGGGGCTCTAGAGGGGCCATTGGGAGACAGGTTGAGGGAGACGGGCCTGGGTGGCGCACGGCGGCCTTGTGGGTTGCAGTGGTAACCGCGTTCTCCCGGCCATGCGGGGCTTTGTTGGCGACTTGCTAAAGCACTTTGCCATCACGGGGCGTAAGCATGTTCTGTGTGTCTTATCTCCCTGGGTCTGGAATGTCCCAGTTGGCTTTTTGTCTTGGTGACAGACCTGGCACCCGCTCAGTGCTTAGCAGGTGGATGAAAAGCTGGACTGCAGTAGCCCTGAGCCCCGGCCACCTTGGGAACCCTGTGCTCTACCTTAGGAAGTCCTACCTCCCAGTGGGCCCAGGAGGGCACCCTCACCGTCTTCCGAAAGTAGCCAGTAGCTCTTTGGTTCCCAGGTGGCTCTGTGGTTGGCACAGCTCAGGTGGTGGCAGCCCCAGCCACCGTCTTGAGCTGGGTCCGCCTGAAGGTCAGGGCGCCACTTCCTTGGTCATGTTTTCATGGTGTTGGCTGGGAGGGGCTCTCCCGCAGGCTTCAGATTCAGATGCTGAATCCCTGGGAACCAGTGGACGCCGAGCGGGTCAAGTTCATGATGCAATGCCTCTGCCCTCTTCCTTCTACCCAGCAATTGGAGAAAGTGATAATGAAACAATCTAATAGCAGTTTTTTAATTTACTCTTCTAAGGAAAAGGACTTCATATTTCTAAGTGGGGAAGGAGCCAACCTCCTTCTGCAGTGTGGTGACGGACAGTGGCTTCATTTGTCTGTTCTGCAGGAAATTTCTGAACCCTTCACTGTGCCTGGCCTTGTCTGGGTGCTGATGTGCAGAGATGCCCCACAGGGGTCTGACTGGGGAGGGACATGTAACTAAAGTCACCGTGGGGGTGGGGGACAGAGTCGATGCAGCCCCTACTCCACTTTTTACTCTCTTGCTGTCGTCTGTGCTGATGCTGTAACAAAATACCTGAGACCAGATAATTTATAAAAAATAGAAGTTTAGGGCTGGGGGTGTATCAATGGTAGAGCACATGCTTAGCATGCACAGGGCCTGGGTTCCAGCCCCAGTACCCAGAAAACACATTTGTTTGGCTTAGGATTCTGGGTCAGGATCAGGACATCTGGCCAGGACTGTGTGTGTGTCGTGTCATAATGTGGCAGAGGGCTTCACATGGCGAGACGGCAAACTTGCTGGCTCCGGACTCTTCTTGTAAAGCCACTGATGCCATCTTGGGAACTGTACCCTGGCGACCTCAAATGTTCCTATTTACGTCCAAGACCCCTCCTCCAGATAGCATATGGATTGGGGGTCAGGTTCCAACGCAGACTCCTGAGGGGACCTCCCTGCCACAGCGGTTCCAGCTCCCTCCTCTGCCCTCGGCCGCCAGGCCCTGATGGTCTGCCGGCAGTGTCTCTGGGCAACCTTGACCCCGGGGAGGAGGCCGGAGGGCTCCTGGTGCTCACTTGGTGAACAGGACCCGTCCCCTGAATGTCCCCTGGCTGGTGGGGCTTTGCTTTGTTCATCACTTGCTTGGCCATCTCGGCTTCCGTGCCGCCGTGGCTGGACGTCTCACCCAGGGTCAACTCTGTTCTAGGTGAAGCCAGCGGCCAGAGTCAGTGAAGCCGAGAACCTGGGTGACCCAGTGGCTCCTGAGGGACCTATGGTAGGTGTGGCCTGACCTGTTCCCAGCAGGGACTGTCCACCCAGTGGGACAGGGGCGGGGCGGGGCCCTGGGGCTGAGGCAGCCCTGGCCTGGGGGCTCCGCTTCCTGTTGAGCAAAGTGAGGCTGGGAACTCCCCCTTGTGGGTTTGGGGACTGTGACCTGGAGCAGTCTGTGAGCTGCCCAGGCTGTCAAGAGGCGGCTCTTGTCATCTGCAGGTGCGAGGCCGTGACCGGAGGAAGGCCGCCCTGAGACTTTGTTTTGTTTTGGGTTTACTTATTTATATGTGGTGCTGAGAATGGAGCCCCGAGCCTCACACTGCTAGGGAAGTGCCAGGGGAAGTGAGCTACAACTCCAGCCGAGACTTTGTTTCTGTACTGGGAATCTAACCTAGGGGCACTTTGCTCCTGAGCTAAGTTTCCAGTCTTGCTAAACTGCTGAGGCTGGCCTCCAATTTTCCATCCTCTTGTCCCAGCCTCCCAAGTTGCTGGGATCACACGTGTGCACCCCGTGCCTGTCAGAGACTGGGTTTCAGTCCTGCCCTGTGACTGAGGTGGGGGTGCTGACGGCCTGGGTGTGGTAGGGCTGGGGAGTGAGGCTCCCATAGTCAGAGGACAGGGGGGAGCAGGATTCGCCTGGGGTTCAGGGCTGTGGGGCAGACTTCAAATAGTGAAGTGTAGAATTTCCTCGGTCACTGGCGTTGACATGTCCCTGAGGCGCGGGGACAGGCCACAGCTGGCAGGGATTTGGCTCTTACGGCTCTTTGCCGTCTTCAGCGCAGTGACTGCCTGTGCTCTTTGTGTATCATGACCAAACACCAGTGGTGGCCGTCCACAGGGCACCTGGCTCTGCAGAAAGCAGAAACGGGCCATCAGCATCACCTTGCTGGAGGCCAAGTGCGTGGAGGGCCACAGTGGGCCGTGTGAAGGGCAGGGTCCTCCTGGGTCTGAATCAGGCCCCCGCGGCTCCCTGGGTCTGGTTCCCATGCAGGCTCCTAACCCCTGGCCTTCAGCCTCCTGCGCTGACCATCTAGAGGGGTTTGTTTGTTTGCAGAGCTAAGGATTGGACCCAGGCCTGGAGCATGGTAGGCAAGCGTTCTACCACTGAGCCACGTCCCCAGCCGTTTTTATTTTTGTTTTGAGACAGGGGCTCGCTAAGTCGCTGAGGCTGGCCTCGAACTTGTGAACCTTCTGCCTCGGCCTCCCAAATTGCTGGGATTATAGCCACTGTACCCAGCTGATATTGAGTATTTCTCGAGTGCCTTCCTGGTGCCAGGTATTGTTCTTGGTGCTTTTGTAGGTTCATTTATTCAGCTCTTGCTATAGCCCCAGGACGTGGGTAGATACTGTTCTTATCCATCTTACAAATGAGGAAATAAAAGTTCACAGAGGTTAAGTCATATGCTCAGGGTCACACAGCCAGTGAGTGGTGGGGCTGGGCCTCACATCCCAGCTGCACAGTCCAGAATCCCACCACAGTGCCCCCTCCCTGACCCTACCATCCTGGCCAGAGGATGGGCAGCCATTGTGTCAGTGCCCATCTCTTCTGCCCCATCGTCACTTGGCCTGGAGTGGAGCAGGTGCTGCTCATGAAGCCTGGCGGCTCCTGGAGGCCTGACTTGCCTGCTCTGCACTCGTCCCTCTTCACATGGAGCCCCACGTGCAGGTGCAAAGAGCAGGCTTCTCTGGGGAGCTGGGTGGGAGCCTGGCATTCCGCGCAGCTCGAGCGCGTGAAGTCACTTTTTGAAGGAGGAAGCTGAGGCCTGGAGCCGTCAGAGGCCTCGTTCAGGCGCAGGGTGAAGCTGATGGTCAGTCTGTCTGAACTGAGTCCCTGTTGTGAGCCAGGCATGGAGCGGCCCGTGCGGTAGTGAGGAGAGCCAGCCCCTGACCTGCAGGGGGCAGCAGTCGCAGAACAGATCTGCGGGGTGCTGTCCGTGTGCCTGGCCGGGAGGCTCTGCAGAGAGAGTGACCGATTTGTGCTGGCGGATGAGTGGGAGGGGGCAGCTGGGCAGGGGACAAGGGGACGAGAGAGTGGGCAGAGAAGACCAGTGTGGCAGCTGGGCACAGTAGCTGCAGCGACTCAGGAGGCGGAGGCAGGAGTATTTGACTTAGCAAGATCCTGTCTCAAAATCAAAATGAAAAAGGGCTGGGGAGCCAGGCACGGTGGTGCACCCCTGCAATCCCAGGACTCAGGAGGCCGAGGGAGGAGGATCATGAGTTCAGACAGCCTCAGCAAAAGTAAGGCCCTAAGCCACTCAGTGAGACCCTAACCACTCAATGAGACCTTAAGCAGCTCAGTGAGACCCTTCTCTAAATAAAATATGAAACAGGGCTGGGGACGTGGCTCGGTGGTCCAGTGTCCCTGAGTTCAATCCCCAGTCCCCCCCTCAATAAAACAAGGAAAAAGGGCTGGGGACGTGGCTCAGTGGTAAAGCACTGGGTTCAGCCCCCAGTACTCCCTGCCCCCCCCACTCCCCCCCCTTTCCAAAACTGAAAACAAAACAAAAACCCTAAAAGCAAAGTCAAGAAATCAGCGCGACAAGGACAGGGAGGGGAAGGACAGGTGGCCCAGATGTACCTGGAGGAGCAGGTAAGAGCCTGGGGTCTGTGTTTCAAGTACACTGGAGGCCACTGGTCATTCGCTCAGAGTGGAGTGGTCAGATACCCCGGAAGGTCACTGCGGTTGTCGAGGGTGACTGGAGGGGGCAGGGCCTTGAGGGGAGATCCGTGCTGGGCGGGTGCCCTCCACTCCCCTCGGAGTCAGCTCGCGGTGCCCTCCTCAGGCCAGTCTCCCCCGCCTGGGCAGGGCTGCCCTCCTCCTGCCCGCCAGCCCCTCGCGCCTCTGCTTTGGTTCTTGTTTGGGTGCCCTTGGTGATGGGGTCACCTTTACCGCCCACCAGGCCAGGACCCCGCCTCCTGTGCTGGCCTCAGGACTCAGGGCTTCTCGGACAGCATCCGTGCTGTGCCGCTCATCTAGATGGCAGAAGTCCCCTTCCCCTGCTGTGACACAGAATGCCCCCAGACATTGCCTGGGGGCGGGATTGCCCTTGGCTAGAGACCACTGCTGGGCAGAGGCGCTGGGGTGGGGCAGGAGCTGGCCTTGGGTGTTGGAGGAGCCTCTGCTCTGAGGGAGGTTGCTGGCCAAGGTTCAGAGCCCTGATGACTTGGTCTCTTCTAGGATTATGGCAGGAAAAGTGAAATGGGTCACTGATATTGAGAAGTCGGTGCTGATCAACAACTTCGAGAAGAGAGGATGGGTCCAGGTGACCGAGAATGAGGACTGGAACTTTTACTGGTGAGGACAGCCACTGGATTTGGGCTCTCTGGAGCCTGCCTCTGAGCTGACTCCCTCCTGCCCGGCAGAGAGCCACGGCCCAAGCACGGGGCGGGGGCGGGGGAGTGGGGGCAGGCGTTCAGCATCTGGGCGGGGAGGAGGAGCCCAGCTCCCACCTCCCCACACGTACTGGCCACAGTTGGTGCCCAGGACGGGGTGGGTGCCTTGGGGGAGGTTGGTGCCTCCCTTGGCCTCCCTCTGGCGCCCTGCAGGGCTCAAGCTGGGTCATCAGCCCCGGAAGACCACAGTGGAGAAGGATTCCGCTAGGAGAAGAGAAGCCGCGTGTGGGCATTGGCTCCAGTGGCCAGGGTCCTGCAGATGCCTCTCGCTGCGTATTGAATAGGTCCCATGTCCTCCTCCACCCTCCTTCCTCTTGTTCCTCCTGTGGTGGCCACAGTGGGGGCCTGGTCTGCTCCTCCCTCAGGGTTGACCATCATCTCTGAAGGGGCCTCCTGACCAGGGGTCGGCCTCCACCCTCTGACAGCGTCACACACCAGAATGCAAACCAGGTCACGCACTCTGGCCTCCCGGTCACCTGCAGCTGCCCAGAGCAGTGCAGTGATTCTTGGAGGAGTGGGCCCGGGTGGGCGAGCAGGAGTCTCACCCCACACCTGTCCCCGCCTCAGACTCGCTGGCCCGGTGCTGACCTGAGAGATGGTCCTCCCTCCCTTGGCCACTGTCCTTCTCCCCACTGCCCCCAGCTCCTCACTGTTCCCCTGCCGTGACCTTGCTCACCCGAGCTGTGCCCCCCCACCCCCGTGCACACACGCGCGCACACACACCTGGCGAACCTCAGCCCGTCGTTCATAGGTGCCCATCCAGACTCTGGAGCCCGATTCTCCCCTCTGTTCACACCTCGCTCCGCCTCTCTGTGTGGCCACCCTCTGTGTGTGGACGGTGGCCAGAGCTTGGTGTCTCTTCAGATCTGGTTGTTGGAGGTTTCAGAGTCTCTGTAAAGTGGGGGCTTGGGGTGGTCTGGCCTGAGGTGGGCGCTCGTGAGCGAGTCCACACGCTGCCCCTGAGGCCGCCTTTGCCTCTCCGAGGCTCACAGTTTGCCTTATCTGGTGGCAGGGCCTCGGGTGTCCTGGGATTGGTGTCCCCACCTGTGCCCTCTTTACATGGTTCTGAGACCCTTTAGAGAGCGAAAATCCTGCCTGGCTGTGCCAGAGTCCCCAGAGGCTGGCAGGGGCCTGGGCACCGAGCGGGCCCGCGGTCGGCTTCCGTATCCGGAGTCAGTGAGCGATGACTGCATTGCTTCTGACGACATGCCGGTTACCTGCACGGCCAGCCACAGCTAGATTTCGTCCAGGAATGTGGTGTGCCGACTGGGGAGTGCTCCCGGGGTGCTTCAGCACCTGGGTTCACTCTGCCAGGTAAAGTGCAGAACCGTCTGCCCCGTGGACCCTCAGGTTCCTCCTCTGCAGACTCAACTAACCCTGGGTCAAAAATATTTGGAAAAGAAAATTGCAGCAGTACCAAACATTCACTTTTTCTTCTTGTAATTATTCCCTAAATGATAGAGTATAACTATGTACACGGCATTGCCTTCCCACGAGCATTGGAAGTAATCTAGAGGTGATTTAAAGTTGGGGGGGTGCAAAGGCCCTGTGCAAACATAGCACCCTTTTTTCTAGGGGACCTGAGCACCCTCATAAGTCTTGGAACAGCTCCCTGCAGATGCCGAGGGGCAGCTCTAATTCCTCCAGAGCCTTGTTTAATAGGTGCTCCGAAAGGAAAGACTGAGTTGCACAGTGACTTGTAACTTTCCGTTCCAAGTGTGTTGCCCTGGGCCACCCAGCGCTCTGAAATCACCCGCGGCTCTCACCGGGTCATGGGTGCTCGAGCGCCTCCTTCTCCATGTGGAATAGAAACATCCCGCTGGGGTCTCCCTACGCTGCCCAGGCTGGCCCCCAACTCCTGCGCTCACCCCAGCCTTCCACATCAGCGCTGGGCTAGCTAGACCACAGGTGTGATGCCACCGCGGGCTTCCAGCTGTTCCCAACAGCAGGAGGCACAAGAGAGGCCCAGCCAGAGACGCAGGGTGGGAGCTGCAGCCATTGGTTTAACTTTTTTTTTAATTTGTTTTTAATTTTTTATTTGTAGATGAGCACACAGTGTCTTTATCTATTTTTGTGTGGTGCCTCACACATGCAAGGCAAGCGCTCTGCCCCTGAGCCCCAGCCCAGCCCTGACTTGACCTTTACTCCTAGGTGCTAACAGCAGGTTCGGAGTCGGTCAGGGTCACAGTGGAACCACTCGGTTCAACAGCGTGGGAAAGGTCAAGTACTTCAGCTGAGTGGTTATGGCTCAGGTGCTAAACCGACAGTTATAGTGCGGTTTGGAAGCTTCTGTAACCATAAGTGAGACGAGCGTAGTAAGGACTGTCACTGGGGCTGGGAGGACAGCCTGTGTGCCTGTGGAAAGCCGCCGGGTGACCTCAGTCCGAGTGCTCAGCCCGGCCCTGCCCTGGTTCCTGACTAAGAGGCCAGTGGAATGGCCTTGGCCCAAGTCGCTTTGGGTGAACGGCACCGCAGTGGCCGGGACCAGGGAGCTGCTGGCCGCACACCTGGAGGGGTGCGGGGCCCAGCTGTGATCTTGAAGACTGGCCAGTGAAGGGAACAAGTCACGCAGGATTTCCTCTCGTGAACGAGCTGCTCTTAGGGTACCTGCTGTGGATGAGGGGATCTTGCAGGACTGTTGCTGCTGGTAACGACGGGGCAGGGGGAGGTAGAGGGCGGCCACGGGAAGAGAAATGTGGTTTCTCATCGTAGTCTTTATGTTCAGCTGATAATATTTTCGACATATTGGATTAAATAAGATCTATTAGGACGGTTTTTTCTCACCTGTTTTTTCTGGGGAGGTAGCGGGGATTGAACTCAGGGGCACTCAACCACTGAGCCACGTCCCAGCCCTTTTGTATTTTATTTAGAGACAGGGTCTCACTGAGTTGCTTAGCGCCTCACTAAGTTGCTGAGGCTGGCTTTGAACTTGAGGTCCTCCTGCCTCAGCCTCCTGAGCCGGGGGGATCACAGGCATGGCCACTGTGCCCAGCTCTTGTAACATTTTAAAAAACTTGCCTGTTAGTTTAGTTGTGCAAGAGATGGAGCCAGGGCCTTGTGCATGCAGACGACCCCTGAGCTACACCCCCAGCCCCCACCTTACCAGAGGATTCGTGGTTCCACACGTGGCTCATTCCATGTCTGCTGGACACTGGGGACAGTGCTGGCCGGTGGGGCTTGCCCATCACTGACATCCCAGAAGGAGACCCCAAGCCGCACGTTTCCGCTGACCGTGTACACGCCACGTGGGAGGCAGCCTGGCCAAAAGATCTGCTCATCAGCCCTCGAGGCTGGCTGGCAGTTCCTAGGAGGTCAGGGGCCGGGGACGTGTGAATAAGGAGCCTGGGTGAATCCCGCAGGACAAGGACAGATGTCCTCGACAAAGGGGTTGCATGGAAGAGAAAGAGAAAGAAGGAGGAGAGAGGACAAGGACTAGAAGAGAAGTAAGAGCCCAGGCTGGTGGCCAGGCCGTGTCCCAGTCACTTGGGAGGCGGAGGCAGGAGGACCACAAGTTCAAGGCCAGCATGGGCAACTTAGTGAGGCTCTGTGTCAAAATAAATTAAAAAAAGGGGGGTGGGTTGTTGCTCCATGGTGGAGCCTGGCACGTGCAAGGCCTTGGGTTCATCCCCAGCACCACAGGGAGTGGTGATAAAATGTGAAGGCATCTCTTTCTACCATCGCCCCTTCCTCTGTGAGCCTTCCAAGAGTATGATGTGCTAACTCAGGGCCCTCAGATAACCCTGTGATTTCATTTTTTTATTTTTGGTACTGGGGATTGAAACTGGTGGTGCTTAGAGATAGGGTCTCCCTGAGTTGCTTAGGGCTTCACTAAGTTGCTGAGACTGGTTTTGAACTTGTGATCCTCCTGCCTCAGCCTCCTGAGCTGCGGGGATTACTGGTGTGTGTCACTGTGCCTGACCAACCCCTGTGATTTCGCCTTTAAAGGTCAATGATCTTTCTGAATTTGGGTGCAGATACTGTGTGAGTGAGGTTCCCTGTAGTCTGAAAGGGGTCAAACTGCACTTGTTGCCAATGTTATCATGATCAGTGAACACTTATTAGGCTCCTGTCTCGGCAGAATCAAAGCAGCTCCTGCCTCACAGTCAGGTCCCGTCCAGTGCCTGGAGACTGGGGCACAAGGGGTGGCGGCCAGGGCTCCGCGGGGCTGTGGGGGACTGGCGGCCTTAGCCCTCTGAGCTCTGTTTCAGGATGAGCGTGCAGACCATCCGGAACGTGTTCAGCGTGGAGACCGGGTACCGGCTCTCGGACGACCAGATCGTCAACCACTTCCCCAACCACTACGAGCTCACCCGCAAGGATCTGATGGTGAAGAACATCAAGAGATACCGGAAGGAGCTGGAGAAGGACGGGAGCCCCCTGGCCGAGAAGGACGAGAACGGGAAATACCTCTACCTGGGTGGGCACCTTCCGCTGGCTGCTGGTCATCAGTAGCTGAGTTTCTCATCGGGAGGGACCCTGAGGTGGGGGTGCTGGCTCAGCTGGGAGAACGTGTAGGTGCCGGTCTGTGGCTCCTCTGTCCCCTCGGTGTCTGGCGGGTGGGTTGGGCCACGGATGGCTGGAGGGTGTGCTCGGTGCCCATGCACGGGAGACACCTGCGTGCCTGCTAGGGTGGGCCCCCGCTCCTCCAGCCCCAGGAGGACGCTGTGTCCCTGCCCCACCTGGTGATGGAGGCGGCTGCGGGATGGTCAACTGTCCCTCCACGTCCCGAGCCGCGGTTTCCTCATCTGCCGAGTGGGGGTGCGAGCTGTAAAGTCGGGACACTCGGGGCCCAGTGAGGGGAACTGGGCCTGCACAGGACTCCGGTGGCCAAGTCCTCGTCGTGTGAGGCCCCGGTGGTGGGGACCGGGTGGGGACGGGGGACGACAAGTGCTAGAGGCAGTGGCTTCCCGTTTCCGCCCCGTGGGCTGCCACTCACGGCACTGGGCTTCCCCTTCCAGACTTCGTGCCAGTCACCTACATGCTGCCTGCAGACTACAACCTGTTCGTGGAGGAGTTCCGGAAGAGCCCGTCCAGCACCTGGATCATGAAGCCTTGCGGCAAAGCCCAGGGCAAGGGTATCTTCCTCATCAACAAGCTCTCGCAGATCAAGAAGTGGTCCCGGGACAGCAAGACGTCCACGTGCGTGCGCGGCGCCCATCACGGGCTGGGTTCTAGTTAGCCACTGCCGGCATCCTCAGTCCCTGGGCCGAGAGCGGGCTGACCCTTGCCTGCTTTCCAGCTGCGTGTCACTTGTGGTGTGGTGACCTAGCGGGGCCTGTGGCTGTGATAGTGTCAACCAGACTCTCCCTGGGGTGACTGGTCCCAGGCTGGCGGGAGGCCTGCCGGGGCACAGGAGCCAGGCGTCAAGGCTGGCGCTTCAGACCTCGGGTTTGAATCCCACTCTCGCTAGCTGAAGGTTTTTTGGTATTTTCTCGTTTGGTTTGGTTTGGTGCTTTGAGTCGAACTCAGGGTGCACCACTGCGGAGCCACATCCCCAGCCCTTTTTATTTTTTATTTTGAGACAGGGTCTCCCTAAATTGCTGAGACTGGCCTCAAACTTGGGGTCCTCCCACCTCTGCCTCCTAAGGCGTGGGATTGCAGGTGTGCCACCGTGCCCTGCAGTGCCTGCTTCTGGACCTAGTTTAAACTAGGGGGAATAATGACACCACTGCCTTGGGAGTGGGATGAGTCACGGGTGGAGCCTGGGGCAGTGCAGCGAGTGCGTGGAGCCAGAGGCCATCAGGGTTCTCATGTGCTGGTTGTAGGTCAAGTCCAGATTCTTCCTGGGTTGCAGGCTCCTCTCTGCCCTTGGGGTGTCCTCAGCGGCTCTCAAGTGCCCGGGGCCCCTGGAGCAAGGCCTGGTGTGATCCTTTCCCAGTGGGGTGATGTCTAACGTATCAAGAGATCCCAGGGAAGTGGGGGGGGGGGGGCTCGTGTGCAGTGCACTTAAATCTGACCGCACCTTTCTGTTCCCCAGGCTGGCTCCTCGGGGGCTCCCAGGGGCTGTGTGGCAGTCTTCCCACTATCTCCCTGAATCCCTGTCACCCCAGTTGTCTCCTGATGAGCCAGGATCTCTCTCTGGGAGGCAGGGGCTTGTGACCAACTAAATGTACCTTTGCTCTTTGCTGACGAGATTTCAGCCGGGCGCAGTGGCACACTCGTGTTATCCCAGTGGCTCAGGAGGCCAGGGCAGGAGGATCTCAAATTCAAAGCCATCCTCAGCCATGGCGAGGAGGCTCTAAGCAACTCAGACCCTGTCTCTAAATACATACAAAATAGGGCTGGGATGTGGCTCAGTGGTCGAGTGCCCCAGAGTTCAATCCCTGGTACCAGGAAAAAATAAAAAAACCCAAAGAATTTAGTACTTTCAGAGCAGTTTTGGACTCACTGCTAAGCTGAACAGAAGACGGGGCTGGGGTGGTGGCTCAGGGGTAAAGCACTTGCCTCGCACCTGTGAGGCCCTGGGTTCGGTCCTCAGCACCACATAAATAAATAAAATAAAGGTATTGTGTCAACTACAATGAAACAGTTAAAAACAGCTGAACAGAAGATCCAGCTTTCTATCTCCCTACCCCCACCCCACCCCACCCTCCCCTGTCCACAGCCCTGGGTGCTCAGCCGCTCCTGCCCCTCCCCCCAGCCTCTGTCAGCCTCTGGTCTTTGTGCTGTCCCCTTGTCTTTTCCCTAGTGCCACCCAGGAGGAATCCCACCACATATAGCCTTTCACCTCTGCTTCGGTTGTGAGCAACGTGCGTTAAGCTTTGTCATAGTGCATGATAGGCATCTGTGACTTCTCCTAGCTCCATGCTTTCTTTGTCCCACTGATTAATATCCCGTTATCTGCATGGACCACAGATTATTTATCCCTCACTTGCTGAAGGACATCTTGATTGCTTCCTGGTCTGGGGGAGTTATGAACAAGCTGCCGTAAAGGTCCAGGGGCAGGGTTTGCAGGGACATGTGTTCTCAGCTCCTCTGGGGAGACGCCGAGGGGTCTGATTGGTAGACCTTTGGCAGAGTGTGTTTAGTTTCTTTAGAAAGTTCCTGATGAGCTGAATATGGTAGCAATTGCGATCCTAGCAATTCAGGAGGCTGACGGAGGAGGATCACAAGGTCAAGGCCAGCCTCAGCAACTCAGCAAGACTATCAAAATAAAAAACAAAAAGGGCGGGAGATGGAACTCAGTGCTAGGGCACCCTGGGTTCAATCCCCAGTGCCAAAGCACAGCCTCCAAACTGTCTTCCAAAGCGGCTGCCCCACTTTGCACTGCCAGCCGTGAGTGCAGACCTGTTGCTCCGTGTCCTGGTGGGCGCTTGGTGTGACCCTTCACACGTGGTTTATCGTGCCCTCCTGATGGCGTCTGAGGTGGAGCGTCTCTTCCTGTGCGTAGTCGCCACCATGTGCCTATCTTTGCTGAGAGACCTTTAAGGTCTTGATCCATCTCTAAATGGTTGATATTATTGTTGGGTTTTAGCGTTCTTTGTATTTGGGGATAACCATCCTTTGTCAGATATGTCTTTTGAGCATATTTCCTCCCAGTTTGTGCTTGTCTTTATATTTTCTTTTTTTTTAATATTTATTTTTTAGCTGTAGTTGGACACAGTATCTTTAGTTTATGCATTTATTTTTATGTGGTGCTGAGGATCGAACCCAGGGCCTCACACGTGCTAGGCGAGTGCTCTACCGCTGAGCCACAACCCCAGCCCGTCTTTATATTTTCTTGACGGTGTGTTTTACAGAAATTTTGTTTTCCAGCACTGGGGATTAAACTCGGGGCTTTAGCTAAACAAATGCTTTACCACTGAGCTGTTTCTAGCCCAGAAATTTCTAAGTCTAATGAGGCTGGGTCCATCTGTTCACTCTTTAATGGGTTGTGCCAATACTGTCTTTTACCCTCTCGGTGCGCAGGTTCGTGTCTCAGTCCACCAAGGAGGCCTACGTGATCTCGCTGTACATCAGCAACCCCTTGCTCATCGGCGGGAGGAAGTTTGACCTGCGCCTCTATGTTCTGGTGTCCACCTACCGCCCGCTGCGCTGTTACATGTAAGAGCCGGGCCTTGCCTCTAGCTGGTGTGCATCTTAGCCTGACTCGGCCTCCTGCTTAGCACCACGTGAGGCGAGGGATTTAGTAAAACAGTGGGTGCTCAGGTGGGTACTGGGAAAATAAGAGCCACTGGCCTCGATGCCACTGTGAATCCCACAAACAAGAAGGCAGCTCCTTTAAACGTTAAAGCAAAAGCCGTTCCTTTTAGTCCTCAAAGTCTGAGTCAGTTGAACTCCCCCCAGGTATAAGCTGGGGTTTTGCCGGTTTTGTACCGTGAAGTACACCCCGAGCACCAGCGAGCTGGACAACATGTTCGTCCACCTCACCAACGTGGCCATCCAGAAGCATGGGGTGAGTGTCTTTCTGCTCCTGCTGCGTGGGCTGCTTTCCTGTGTCCGCAGGAGAGGACAGGTGGCCCACGGGTGGTGTGGAGGGTGCATCCTGGCCCGAGGCCCTGGCACCAGGGGATGGGGGCCAAGTACTTGCTTGGGGGAAGACAAGAGGGGGTCTCTGGGAGAGAGGAGGCCACAGGTGCAGGTCCCCCTTTCTAGTTCTGTGACCTTGGACAAGCATGTTCAACCTTAAGCTTTACTTAGTTTGTCACAATAAAAGGAAATAATAGTATTAAGAGGTTCCTTCTGCTACGATGAGGTCGTCGCGTCTCGTAGATCTGTCTGACGTTGGCATATAGGTTAGAAAATGCATCAAAATTAGGAGAGGAAGCCGGACGCGGTGGCACTCACCTGTCATCCCAGCAGATCAGGAGGCTGAGGCAGGAGGATCGCAAGTTCAAAGCCAGCCTCAGCAATGGCGAGGCACTAAGCAACTCAGTGAGACTCTAAATAAAATGCAAAATAGAGATGGGGATGTGGCTCAGAGGTCGAGTGCCCCTGGGTTCAGTCCCTGGTACCAAAAATAAAAAATAAAAAGTAAAATAAGGGGAGGAGGGGTTGGAGTGGTGGCTCAGTGATAGAGTGCTCGCCTAGAGGCACTGGGTTCAATCCTTAGCACCACATAAAAATAAAATAAAGGTATTGTGTCCACCTACAACTAAAAATTTTTTTTTAAATATTTCTTAAAAATAAGGGAAGAGTGGGGAGTGAAATCAAACTCCATGCCTGCATGATCTTGTCAAAATGCATCCAGCTACTGTGTATAATGGTGCTCTAATAAAAAACCAGTCCCTGTAATCCCAGTGATCAGAAGGCTGAAGGAGGAGGCTTGGTGAGTTTGAGGCCAGTTTTAGCAATACAGCAAGATCCCCAGCAACTTAGCGAGATCCCATCTCAAAATTAAAATAATAATAGAAAGGGCTGTAGCTGTAGCTCAGGGGTAAGGCACCCCTGGGTTCAATCCCCAGTGCCACACACAAAAAAAGCCACACTCCACCTCGCCCGCTGAGCATCATGGCTCTGAGCCCTCCTGTGAGGCTGGTGGGGTTTGGTTTCACAGTTCTCAACCTCTTGCTTTGAAAGTGAAACCCCAGACTCATTACCTCCTGATGCCTTTGTGTCACCAGTGTAAGAGGGAAGCCCCTGGCTGTGGGACGAGCATCAGCCACTGGTCCCCAAAGCCAGTCCTAGGGAGGAGCGGTGGTGAGGTCAGGGAGGGAGCTTTGTTGTGGGTGTGGCTACGCCAGGAAGAACAGAGAGGTCTTGCGCCTGGGCTCTGTCTCCAGGGGCTGGTCGAGGGCAAGGGGAGCTAGGCTTGGGGTCTGCAGAGCTGGCACAGCAGGCCGTCCTGCTCCATCAGCTCAGGATCCACCGTAAGAGCTTTGTTGGCACCGAGAAGGTCACTGGTGTTTGGGGGTGGGGCTTCTAGTCCTCCTCATGAGGTGTTTATGGGTCAGACCTGCGTCCCTGGAATCCAGGTGACCGCAGGAGAGATGACTCAGGGGGCTCAGAGGGGAAAGAAAGTCCCCATGGCCAGGCGGAGCCGGGGGCACGGTGGGGTCAGCTAGGTCAGTGACGGAGCCTCCTTCAAAGGCCGGTGGTATGGGGAGAACGGATCAGCAGGGATGGGGGGACAGGAGGAGTGCTGAGCCGGCTTCAGGAACCCTGGGGCCTGCTCCACCCCAGCCCAGGACGAAAGCTTAGGCACATGGCAGCTGCTCTGAGTCCATTACCCTGCTCATGAATTGAGGCCGCATTGGTGACACCGCAGGCTTGTTAGAGAATTACAAGTGCCGAGTTTTTCTTTCTTTCTTTTTTTTTGTGTGAGGCAGGTGCTCTGCCACTGAGCTACACCCCTAGCCCTGCTAATTTGTTTATTTTTTATTTTGAGACAGGGCCTTGCTAAGTGATGTTGGCCCTGAATTTGCAGTCCTCCTGCCTCAGCCTCCCACGTCACTAGGATCACAGGCATGTGCCGTGCGCCCGGCCACACATGGTGTTTTTGAGTGTAGGGCCTAGCACACATGTGTCTTGGCCTGGCTTTTCCAGGTGAGAGACTGAGGCAGAGATCTGCGGGCAGGAGGTGTGGGGCTCATCCTCAGCAGCAGCACGTGAAGCAGGGAGGTGGGCAAGGCCAGGACACTGGGAGGGGAGCAAACGCAGCTGCAGCAGAGGCGCCAGCTGGCACCAGGTGGCGCTGTGGAGCTGGGTGCCCACCTAACTGTGCAGGAGCAGGGAGAGGGCCCACGCTGGCATCTGCCAGGCCCTGCCAGGCATGACCTTGGATGAGGCACCTTCCTGGAGGGTCTCTGCTGGGGCAGGAGTGCTCTGGTCTTGAAGGGGGCCTGGGTGGCCCTCCACAACATGGGCTGTGAGGTTGGTTATGAGAATACTGTAGCGCTGGACTTTAGGAGGCTCAGAGCTCTGCCAGGCAGGGAACCCATCTGCCCACACCCAGAAGGCACTCGAATGACCTTGGAGGGACGAGAGAGCAGGTGGCTGGGTTCCTCAGGTGCATTGCTGGAAGGTGCCCTGTCCCCGTTTTCTGTCACTAGGAGGACTACAACCACATCCACGGAGGCAAGTGGACCGTGAGCAACCTGCGGCTGTACCTGGAGAGCACCCGCGGCAAGGAGGTGACCAGCAAGCTGTTTGACGAGATCCACTGGATCATCGTGCAGTCCCTGAAGGCTGTGGCGGTGAGTGCCAGGTTCAGGGGCCAGGTGGGCACCGGGATGAAGGCCCTCAGGAGCTGGTCGTGCTCACCACTGGGCTGCTCTTGTTGTTTTGCTAAAATACCCGCGTTCACGTCCTCACTGTCTGCCCGTCAGCCAGAGGCGGAGGTGGCTTCAGGAAGGCAGAGGCCCCCTCAGGGTGTCGCTGCTCAGTGAGCTGGGTCCAGCTTCCCACGTGTGGCCACAGGCCCTGCATCCTTTGCGGCAGCCCAGGCGCCCCGACACCATCCTTGGCTCTCCCTGTGCCCACTGGCTCCGGGTGAATGTTTCTGTGGGAAGCGAGTGATGGAGGTGGACCCTCCTGTCTGGCTGCAGTCTCCGCTGCTCCATGAACATCTAGAGCTGACTTGCTCCTCCTCCGCTCTTCTGTTTGCTGCTTGTGTTGCTCTGAAGCAGGCGCGCACCTGCCCTGAGGGGGGAGAGGAAGAGTACTTAGAGCCCCTCGTGCTGGCCCTCACGTTCAGGGCTTCACAGATGGTATCTCTGAGGTGTCTGATCACCCCGACTTGACGCACGAGAAAATGGGGGCTCGAGCCCTAGAGCTAGAAAGCGGAGGGCCTGGCATTGGCGCAAGGCCCGGCAGTCCTCCACCTCACCAGTGAGGGTCGGGAGGCACCAGCCCACTGCCGAGGCCCTCACCGGAGACTGGGTCCCTCCACCTGGTCTCATGGTCTTGCTGCTGAGCTGGCCTCTGACGGGCCCTCCCCCACTCAGGTGTGGGACCGAGGACACGTAGCCATGGAAATTTTTGGAGGGTGCCGGCCACATCCTAGTCTTTTGTTTTTTTAGAGACAGAGAGAGGGAGAGAGAGATAATTTTAATATTTATTTTTTAGTATTTGGCAGACACAACATCTTTGTTGGTATGTGGTGCTGAGGATCGTACCCAGGCCACACGCATGCCAGGCGAGCGCGCCACCGCTTGAGTCACATCCCCAGCCCCTCACATCCTAGTCTTTTAAGAAAGGTACTTTATAAATCTTCAGAAGTGGGGCTGGGGTTGTGGCTCGCGTATTCTGTCCACCTACAACTAAAAAACATATTAAAGAAAAATCTTCAGAAGCTTAAGAAATCAAGTTGAAGAGCCAAAGAACCACAGCCAGGCTGCAGCACGCGGCCCGCAGACCGAGGGCCTGGGGAGGAGCCCTGCCGCGAGCGCAGGTGTGTGAAGTCTCTGTGCCCAGAGGCTTGGGCTGAGCGTGGGGCGCGTCTACAACCCTCCATTGGAGACCCCAGTGGAGACCTCCGTGGAGACCCCCAGGGAGACCTCCTGGAGTGTGGGCCGCCCACTCCTGCCTGTGCGGCTGGAAAGGCACTTCACAGAAGTCACCTGAAGAAGGCCTGAGACAGGAAAAGGTGACCTGGGGCCTTTCCAGGTCTAGAGTGATGTACTTCCTGCTCTCCAAGGAGCTCTGAGCGCTGTGCGGTTGATCGCGGGCTTCATCATTGGTTTGTGTTGACAATTCGGAGGAGAAAGACCCAGGAGCTGGGTCATTGCTGGCACTCGTCTTGGGGACCCAGTTCCACACCTTCCTGCTGCGTTGACAGAAGCCTGTCCCTCTGGCTCGGTGGCAGGTCGTGAGGGGGTGCTAGCTCAGCTGTGCTTTAAGCCTCGTACCTGCCTGTTCTGAGTCTGAGACTTACATCAGTGAGCTGAGCCAGACACCAGTGTCATGGGGCTTGTGAACAGTGCCCCGAGGTCACCTTACTGACCCAGAGGAGTTAGGTGCTATTATTTATTTTTAATATGTATTTTTCAATTGTAGTTGGATACAGTACCTTTATTTTATTTATTTATCTTTACGTGGTGCTGAGAATCGAACCCAGGACCTCGCACATGCTAGGTGAGTGCTCTACCGTTGAGCCACAACCCCAGCCAAGGTGCTATTATTCGTCTATTTATTTTCCCCTGGTGCCAGCGACTGAACTCAGGGTGGTTCTACCACTGAGCCACACCCCGGCCTTTTTTAGTTTTTGGTTTGGGGACAGGGTCTTGCTGAGTTGCTGAGGCTGGCCTTGGCTTTAGGGTCCTCCTGCCTTAGCTCCGAATGGCTGGGATTACAGGAATAATCCGGGGTGCGTCCTGGCCAAGCTGTCCTCTCAGTTGCTTCCAGCCACTGCAGACCCCCCTGGAGTGGTGGGGCTTTGAGGAAAGCTGGCTGGTTGACCAAGAAAGACTGCTGATGTCAGGATTCCACCAGGAAGCCACCCACTGCCGCCCAGCTTCCCTCCCTCAGTGAGTGAGGAGGGGTCCCAGGCTGGGTCCCCTGAGACTTTCCACTGAAATCAAGGGTTTTGTTTAAGCAGAGCCACTTGCCACCAAGGGATGAAAAGGCCTCACCTGCTTGTCTCTGGGGTTCACTGATGGGGTGCACAAGAATCCCCGAAGGGCATGTGACACTGGGTGGTGTCCAGGGGGAGGACCCAGGAATCTGCACAGTGAGCAAGGAGCTGGGTTGGTTTGTTTGTACTTAATCACTGAGCACCCCCCCCCCCCCTTTTTAAGTGTCTTAAGGCCTTGCTAAGTTGCTGCTTCTGGTCTTGAATTTGTGATCCTCCTGCCTCAGCCTCCCAGTTTGCTGGGATTCCAGGCGTGCGCCACGCCCAGCTGGGTTGTTTCTAACATTCTTGGAGTAGTTTAGGTGAGGGATGTGGAAGTGGAATGGGACTGATTGTCACAAGGACCCTGAGAAACTGTAAGCGAGTGGACTGACTCATCACTGGAAGCAGAGCTTCGTAGTGGGACACTCAGGTGGCGCAGGGCTGGGAGGAAGTGGAACCCTCTGGTGGCCAGCGTGTGTCTGTGCAGGCTGCGTGGGCCTTCTCCCCAGTGCCCAGGCTGGACTTGTGTGGCTCAGGACAGTCTCACACTGGCGGACATTCAGGGCTGACCGTGGGGAGCTTCTGGCGAGCAGGACGTGGAGACAGTTATTGCTCCCCTGGTCCCTGTTGGGTGGAGGCAGGTTCCATCTCTAAGCCCCGGGAGCAAAGGGAGGAGCCTGGTCCCAGGAAGCCAGGACTGTGGGAGGCCTGAGGTGTGACGCCAGCTGGGTAACTGCTCTTTCTTCCCTGCAGCCGGTGATGAACAATGACAAGCACTGCTTCGAGTGCTACGGCTACGACATCATCATCGACGACAAGCTGAAGCCCTGGCTGATCGAGGTAACTGGGGACGCCTGCACTGGACTCGCCTCATGCAGCCCACCCTCAGGCTGCCCAGCATGCGCCCAGCATGCGCCCAGCGGCCCGGGCCAGCGTTCACCAGGCTGGGCAGGAGGACTGGGACAGAGGCTCGGGTTGGGCAGTCAGGAGTGCACCCCAGACCCATCTCTCCCCTGAGCCCCAGCTGGGAGTGCGGTGGGGCTGGGGTCCCTCTCCAGATGAGCCCAGAGCTTGGTGACCGGGACCCTCAAGCCTCGGGAGCTTCAAGGCTGTTGGTGCTCCAGCAGCCCTGCACCCTGACCCTTGAGTCCTCGTGGGGGCCGCTCCTCTCCAGAGAGGGGGCTCCAAACCACAAAGCGCTCTGTCAGCAGGAGCCTGCTGTCCAGAGGTCAGGGAAGCTCTCGCTCTTCCTGGGCCTGTAGGAAGGCAGTTTGGAAGTGGGTTGATCTGTCTGTTCCCAGGAGTAGGGAGGACTCATGGTGGCTGTGCCAGGGACGCAGGGGTACATGCGCCCTGCTGTGCAGAGGGCCCTTTCCTGGTGACAGGCCACGCTGCACAGCAGGCCTGAGCTTCCTGCTCACCTTGCCCAGGTGCTGAGCCGGCTCTGAGCATGCTGTGGGAATGAAAGCGTCCGGCTCTGCTCTGCGGGTTCTTGGCCACGTTTCGCTCAGAGGGTCTCCTCACCAGGCTCCTGTGGAGGTGGAGCTCAGGCCAGGAAGCCCTGGGTCCTCCTGAGTCGTGGGGCGGGGCTGGGGGTTAGGAAAGTCAGAGACCCCCCAGCGGCTGTTGGAAGAGCCCAGATTCCTGTGCACAGGCTGGCTGTGTTCCGGGGTTTTCCAGGGACCTCACTTGCTCTGCTGCCAAAGCTCTGTGTGTTGGGGGCGGTGGGGGGGTAGGGGGTAGGAGTATAACGTGTGCTTTTTTCCTGCATCTTAAACGGAGTATCTTGAATGGGAGCCAAGCTTTCCTTGATGCGCTAGGATCCTAAATGTAGCCATTTTTTTCTGTTTCATATGTATGTGTGGCACTGGGATTTGAGCCCAGGGGTGCTCTACCATTGAGCCACACCCCCAGCCCTTTTTAATTTCTTTTTCTTTTTTTTTTTTTTTTTTTTTTTTTTGAGACAGAGAGTTGCCCAGGCTGGCCTCAAGCTTGCGACTCTCCTGCCTCAGCCTCCCTCGTAGCTGGAATTATAGGCATGTACCACCATATCCAGCTGGACCATTATTTATTTCTTTTCTTTTAAAAATTATTGATTGATTGATTAATTGGTTTTTTTTTTAATATTTATTTTTCAGTTCTCGGCGGACACCATCTTTGTTTGTACTTGGTGCTGAGGATCGAACCCGGGCCCCACGCATGCCGGGCGAGCGCGCTACCGCTTGAGCCACATCCTCAGCCCATGTTTTTTATTATTTATCTATTTGTACTAGGAATTGAAGCCAGGGGCACTCAACCACTGAGCCACATCTCCAGCCCTTTTTAAAATATATTTTATTTAGAGTCGGGGTCTTGCTAAGTTGCTGAGGGCCTTGCTTTTCCTAAGGCTGGCTTTGAACTCGAGACCCTCCTGCCTCAGCCTCGAGAGCTGCTGGGGTTACAGGCCTGCGCCACCGCGCCCGGCTTATTTTTATTTATTTATTTATTTTTTTGAATTGGGGACTGAACCCAGGGGCACTTAAAACACTGAGCCACATCCCCAGTCCTATTTATTTTTGGAGACAGTGTCTTACTGGGTTGCGGCTCAGTGGTAGAGCACTTAGCTGGTATGTGAGACAGGGTCTCACTAAGTTGCTCAGGGCCTCACTAAGTTGCTGAGGCTGCTTTGAACTTTTGATCCTCCTGCCTCAGCCTCCTGAGCCCCTGGGATTATAGGCATGCACCTCTGTCCCCAGCCTACAGTGGTAATTTTAAAGGCAGCTGAGATACCAGGATTCCTGATAGTGTCTACAGTAGACCCCCTGCCAGCCACACAGGTCCTGTGCCCCTCCAGCCTGTGACCTCCTGGAGGGGATGGGCCAGCTGCTCTCTGTCCCCCAGGGCCTGGGGGCTAACCAAGGTCATTAGAACCACACCTAAAATCGGAGTAAATCGGCTGAGCTGAGGCTGGGTCTCTCCAGGGGTGAACGTCTGCATTTCACCTGTGGGGTTTGGGGCTTGCCTCAGTGCTCAGAGGCTTTGGGGGACCCGCTCCTGTGTGTCAGTGGGTCCCCACTGGAGTCAGAGTGCTGCTTCCTGGTGAGGTGTGGCTCTTTTATAAAAAAGGAAGGTCTTTCCTTTACCTCAAACCCCACGCTGCTGTGTGGTCAGGGTCCTCTGGGCCATTGACCTGGTTCTGGGTGGCTTTTGGTACTTAGGACATAGCAGAGTGTGATCTGAGGTGACATAAAGTTATATTTATGCTGACCCCAGGGTTTTATGGGTGTGATAGCTGATTTGAGGATTCTAATCCTAATCAGTTCTGCTTTATCTAACAGCTAATAAAATTAGATTACAAAATGTTCCCCGTACAAGACGGGAACATTAAATAATGTTAGTAAAGCATCATAAAGTCATATTCAGTCATGACGGCCACCTAAACCGGGTGGCAGCCGTGTCCTCTCCTGCGGGCCTGGAGGAGCGAGGGCACGGTGCAGACTGTGGTTTTCCTCTCTTAGGTAAACGCGTCCCCATCCCTCACCTCCAGCACTGCCAACGATCGAATCCTTAAGTACAACCTCATTAACGACACCCTCAACATTGCCGTCCCCAACGGCGAAATCCCAGACTGCAAGTGGAACAAGTCCCCTCCAAAGGAAGTTCTTGGGAATTACGAAATTCTGTAAGTCGCGTGTGGCCCTGCAGTTGTCCCCTGAGGTGTGCCAAGGCCCCGCGTGGGTGTCGGAGGCAGTGTCTCATTCGCGATGCCGCGGCGGGGCTCACGGCCGAGCAGGAAAGCTAGGCCGGTGTTCTGCTCAGGCACTGGGGGCTCTGGGACAGCTGGGAGCAGGGTGGACCTGGCCCTGGGCGCCCCCTCAGGGCTGTGTGATGCCGAGGAGCTCCTGTCCATGGGCACCTCGTCAACTGGAGCCAGGAGCCATCCTGCAGCTGGAGGGAGCTGCCTCTCGTGGCCGACCTCCGAGGGCTCGCCGCGCGCTCCACACGCTCCTTCCCGCGCCCTCCCAGCCCCTGAGGAGAGGAGTCCCCCTGAAGTGGTCCCCTCATGCTGTGACATGAAAAGATGGACCCGGCACTGCATGGAGGTTGCTGAGGATGGATGGAGAGTCTAGAAGCGCAGCAGAATGGGCCCTGGCCAGGGCCGCTTTGGATTGGCAGCGTGGGAACCAAGGGTGGTGTGAGGTGACAGATGTCAGCTGCAGGGGACCCCCACGGGCTCAGATCTGTGGCTCTGCAATGGGAGCTGTAGGGTGGGGACAATATGAGGGGGGTCTGCCAGGAGCACCAGGGCCTAGGGGTCCCCCTTCGATCCTGCTCAGGGTGGCAGGGAGGCTGGTGGGTTGGGAACACATGGGTGGGCTCTGTGCCCCTCCAGCCTGTGACCTCCTTGAGGGGATGGGCCAGCTGCTCCATGTCCAGGCCGAGGAGCAGAGGTAAGGCCCCTGCTTTTAGTTGTAGAGAAGAAGAAGGTCACCCGTCTGTTGAGCCACCCTCTTCCCCCAGCTATGAGGTGGCACGGGCTCCTGTGTGGAGGCAGTCCTAGCTCCTGCCCAGGACCTGCAGGTGTCCGTTATGGCCCGGCTGCTGAGCAGGGCCGGTGCAGAGTGGAGAGAAGGGCTCTGTGGCAAGAGGGGCTTCTGTCCCCAACGCCTGCCCTGTCCCCGCGCCAGGCCCTGTGCTGCATGTTGCCAGTGCTCACGGCCACCCTTCAGTGTGAAGAGCGGGAGGCTGGCAGCATAGGTTCACATGCCAGGGTCACACTGGGGCTGCCCAGAAACAGGTGTTCTTGCTGCCCCCAGATTGTCCCCTGCCTGGCACCACAACGCCAGCCTTGTGCATCTGCCCCCAAGAGTCTGTCTGAGCTGCCAGCTCTGGTTCCACAGCCTTTAAAAACACCCCTCGCACCCCAAAAAAATATATTTAGAACCCAGACAGTAGCCAGGTGCGGCGGCGCAAACCTGAAATCCCCGTGACGTGACGTGACGGGGAAGGCTGAGGTAGGGAGATCGCAAGTTCAAGGCCAGCCTCAGCAATCGAGCAGACCCTGCCTCAACCAAAACATAAAAAGTAGCTCAGGGGCAGAGTGCAAGATCCTGGACTCCATCCTGTACCGCAGAACAAACAAACAAACAAACAATGGTAACTGTTCTGCCTGTCAAAACCCAGAAGAGAGGCTTTTGAATAGGAAGGGCCATAGACACCGCCTGGCTCTGTCTGGGTTCCGTTTGCTCCCCAGGTGCCACAGCTCTGGGGGGACAGCGCCTGGTCCCAGCCGCTCGCCAGCCAGGTGTGCTCAGTTGCTGTGGTTTTCAGGCCGCGTGGCACAGGCTTCCATCCTCATGGGCCGAGTGTGGTCCTGTCCACTCCTTCAGCAGTTCCGCCCACCCGCCTTGCCAAGTGCTAGGGGTGGCCAGGAGACACAGGAAGCGTCACTGCAGCCCTCAGTCAGTGATGCAGATGCCCAGCAAGCCATAGGGTGGTAGCCTGTGGATGGGGTGTCTGGGGGCCGTAGCAGTCTCCAGGGACAGGGGTGCTGGCCCTGTGCAGAGGGGCTCCCTTACCAGGCTGGGAGGAGAGGAGCACCTGGTGGGGTGTCCTGCTGTCCTACCCCAGCGCAGAGTGGGCCCTGTGGAGTCTGCCATGTGGGGAGCAGGGGTGCCCGGGCCTCTCCCTCCCTGCACATCCGCCCCGTCTGCCACCAGGAGCACAGCGCAGGCGTCCTTCCACCCAAGCGTTTCTGAGACAGACCCCCTGCAGCCGCGGATTCTGGTTCTGGGAATGACCCTGAGGCAGAAGCACGCCCTTGGCCAGGAGCCCGCAGAATGCAGCCTGCAGCAGACCGGCCCCCTTGGCCCTTTATGGGTGGTGCAGAGTCCGCAGATGACCGAGGGTCCGCGGGCAGGACGCACTTAACCACGAGCGGCGGCAGGAGGAAGCTCTGCGTTAGGGATACGGAGTCCTGGGTGACACCCCAGCTCTGCCACGGCCTGGGTCTGAGCTAGAGGGTAGTGGGCCGTCATGGGAGGGGTGGGCAGCATCTCTCCACCTGAGGGACCTTGGAGGGGCCCCACTGCGGCAGAAGGGCAGGGACTTGCTCTGATGCCGTTTGGCACAGGGCACCCAGGCTCCGTCCAGCTCCACAGACGCCAGGCGCTTTCCCGCCCCACTCACGCCGCTCGCCCTGGCACTGCCCGTGCTGGTGAGTGTTGGAAACCAGGCGGCGAGGACCTGGAGGGGCATAAGAGGTCCTGCTGGAGGTGTGCGCCTGAGCTGGTCCCCTCCTGTCAGCCTCTGGCCCCTACCAGGGGTGCCGGACAGAGGGTTTGGAGACGCGGGGCCTCCCGTCACTGCACGGGGCTAACCTGTGGTGTCTCATTTGTGTTCATTGCCAGCATCTGTCTGGGGACCTGTTAAAATGTCCACTGCAGGGTGGGACAGGGCCCTGTCCTCAGTAGCAGTTGAACCGCGTGGTCCTCGAGGCTGTGGGCCGCTAAAGCTGCCTGTGGGCAGCGGGGCTGGAGCTGGGCGAGGTGGGACTGGGGTCAGGGGTCAGGCCTGCTGCTTCCCGGTGACATGTGTGCAGAGCCCCCTGTGATCCTGGAGATGGTCTGTTTCCAGGTACGACGAGGAGCTGGCCCAGGGCGATGGGGCCGACCGGGAGCTCAGAAGTCGACCGGGGCAGCCCCTGGGGCCCAGGGCTGGCCGCACAAGAGACTCAGGACGATCCGTCCTCTCCACCTGGAAGTGACCACCAGCAAGAAGGAAGCCCCGCTGGGCCTTGTCAAGACGACCCCCTTCCCAGACCCCACTGAAGGCCTAAGACCTATTTTGGAATTTCCTTTTTTCTAGAGTCCTCTTTCCTGAGCCTGTAAATAATAAAGCACTTATTTGGAAGGTCAAGGTGTCTATTTCATGAGGGCAAAAGAACTGTCATGGATGTGTGGAACTAGCCCTTTTGACAAACAGTAAGAGTGCAGCCGGGACTCAGCTGGTTATGACAGTTATGAGGCGGGTGATGTTGCAGCCCTAACCAGAGACTCCAGAGGCCGAGGCAGGAGGACTGCAGGCTCGAGGCCAGCCTCAGCAACTCAGGTTAGCAATACCTGTCTCAAAAAAACAGAAAGGCCTGGGGGTGTCGCTCAGGGTAGAGTGCACCTGGCTCAATCCTCAGTACAAAACCCCACTACAGACGAGTTGGAAGGCCACCCTTATCACCTCCCCGAGTGGCGCTGCGCCCAGGGAGCCCCGGGTCCCGCCACACGGCAGCTTCAGCTTCGTTCCTTTCACCTTTGGAGGCGACCATCATTTGCAGAGGCCTTGGTCAGGGTGCTCTCAGGAGAGACCTGTTTCTGTCACCCCAGGTTTGGAGACCAGCACAGACCGTTCCCGCTAATGGCTTCTGTGGCGCCAGCATCTGGGTTCCTGAGTACTGTTGGCAGCCGTCAGCGGGGACGGGCCACGTGACGTCCGTGGAGCCTCCCCAGACTCCAGGGTCTTAAGGAGAAACAGGGAAGGACCTGAGCCCACCTGGGAGACTGACGGACGGATGCATCGATGGCTCCGGAGGTGGGAGGAGTTCTTGGTAAGAGCCCTTCTCTGAGGGTCCCATCCGACCCTTGGACTAACTGAGTCACTATCTTGAAAGCTCCGCCTCCCTCTGTTCCCAGGTCAGGGGCGGGGCTTGGGGTTTGTTCTCAGGGCACTGTGCCGAGTCCTGGGTCCCTGGGTCGGGCTGACTGAGAGCCCCCAGGCCACCCCGGACAGCATAGGCGTCCTTCCTCGTGTGAGTGAGACCTCACGGGTGTGTAGTTCTAATGACGTTTCCCTGCCAACTGAGGGGAAGGTCCTTGTGAGCCCAGAGGGTGCGCTGCGGGGAGTACCAAGTCCCCCGATGGCATTCAGCCACAATCAGGCTGCGGACCCGCCTGCCCCTCTGCCTCCCTTTCGTATGTGTGCTGTACAGCCAGCACCTCAGTGGTACGCTCCTTGCTGCTCTCGCAGCTGAGGGTTGATCCTCTGGTCAGGCTTGGGCTTGAGGCCTGGTTCTGCTGTTTATTACCATGTCCTACACTGTCCCAGCGACTCTTGGGACCTTTATTTCCTGGTTCGTGAAAGGGGGTTAAGCTGGGAGTGGTGGCACAGGCCTGTAATCCCAGAGGCTGGGGAGGCTGACCCAGGAGGATTGCAAGTTTGAGGCCAGCTTGAGCAACTGAGTGAGTCCTGTCTCAACAAAATAAAAATGGCTGGGGACATGTTCCAGTGGTGGAAGCACCCGTGGATTCGATCCCTAGCACCAAAAGAGGGGAGTTCATTGTTTTGCTTCAGAAATGCAGTGTGGGCCGCGCCGCGGTTAACCTCCCCACCCGCTGCTTCTCCCTGCTGCTTCTGACCTGGGGGAAGGTGGACTCCGGGTGCTGACCTCGGTCTCCTCTCTGATGACGAGGGTGGCCCGGGCGGCTAGAAGAGAGTGCTAGTTGCTGATGGCTGTTGCTGGGTGAGAGGCGCGGCTGGGGTCTGCGTCAGACATTGGCTGTCCCACGAGTGACCAGATGTTTCCTCTGCACAGTGCCCAGCACACAGCTGGGGAGCGTGCGGTGTCCTCGGCCTCAGGAGCGTGTGAGCTGGGGTCAGTGCTGCTTGTCACCCGGCCCAGCTCCGGCAGTGACTCTCTTGGCCCAGGATGACAGCCTGTTTTCTGCCACCACCCTCCCTCTATTTCCCTTCCTGATGGGCTGGGCCCGGGCCCGGGGCGGCACCAGCTGGTCATTTTCTCCGTTTCTGACGGGTCGGGCCTCTCCCAGGCTCAGCTCCTCGTGCGCCTGCTCCCAGCATGGCTTGGGCTGCCACCCGAGCCCCGGGGCAGCCTCCTCACCGAGTCCCCGCTCCCCCCCCACCCCGACGCCTGGGCCACTGCTGGAGGGCCCACCGTCCCAGCCCACGCCCCATCCCATCTTAGGGCTCCACCCCGAGTCCACGGGCTTTTTCTGTCCTGCGGCCTTTTGTCCCAGGCCCGTGGTCCTTTAGCTCTACCAGCTCCCGTGCTGGGGGAGGGTGGAGGCCGCCTGGCCCTGGGCTCCTGCCCTTCACTTGCCAAAAACTTCCTCTCTGTGCACTGTCCTCCAGCCCCACCCTCTCTGGACCCTTCTCTAGAGGTCATCCTTCCCCCAGGTGGGTGGTGAGCTCCCTCTAGGTGCCACTTCCACTCTGCGGCCTCCTGCCCGCCCCGCATCAGCTGATCCCGGGGTCAGGCGGGATCTGCTGCAGGGACTGCCGGCCCTCTCTTCACTGCTCTCAGCCGCGGCCGTGAATTCAGGGGAGAAACTGGATGAGGGGCGATGGGGATGAAGAAAAGACAGACACACAGAAAAAGCTGGGCCAGGTGGACAGCCAAGCTCTGATGGAGCTCCACTGACCCAAAGCTAGCTCAGCACGTTCATTATGGGGGTTTCATTAAAAGGTTCTTTGTGGGAAAGTTTCAGCAAAACAGACAACATGAAGGACGTGGGCCTGGCGAGACATTAGGGTCACCTTGTTATGCTCAGAATTCTCCATTCCCGGGAGTTGGTGACTGAGCCCAAGGTTCCGACTGGTACAGCTGCCCGCCTTCACACCTAGCCGCCTCTGGCCAGACATCACCATAGCAACGGGGCCACCTTGACCTGCACCTTTGCACAGGCAGTTCCCAGCGCAAAAGCAGCCATGAGGGAGTCAGACCATGATTCAAATCACCACTCTCCACCGGGACCCTGGGCAGCTCCCCGCCAGGGCTGGAGCCAAGGCCCGGCACCCTGGACCCTGGGCACCCATACCCAGGCACCCACAGGTGTTCACTATGTCATTTAACATGAGCTGTGCCCAAATGGAGCACCCTGGGGGTTTTCAGGACCCTCTGTGAGCCAGTAAGAGCACATTGGCTTTGTTTCCTGTTTCTCGGAGGATGGGCCCCAAGCTGCAGGCCGGCTCTAGGAGACCATGTTTGTAAAGGAAGATATGCTCGGTCTTCTCTGGTTTCGTTCCAGCTACAAATGCTTTAAAGTCAAACTCGGCCTTCCTCTCTGTTTGTGGGATGAAGTGTTGCCCAGCTTTAGAATAGAAAATGAAGCCCATCATGCAATTAACATCTGTTCTGTGTTATTTGGTGCTGGGGATTGAACCCAAAGGCCATTAACCACTGAGCCACATCCCCATCCCCTTTTTAATTTTTTAAATAAGTTGTTTAGGGCCTTGCTTAGTGGCTGAGGCTGGCCTCAAGCTTGCAGTCCCCCTATCTTTGCCAAGCCTCTGGGATGGCAGGCGTGTGTCACCACACCTGGCCCCATTAAGATCTTTGTAAACGGGACAATGCCATTCTCCCTGTTTGTTCCTCAGGAGCAAGTTCAAGCTCTAGCTCACGCTTGCTCCTGGTGTGGGTCCTGGTGTAGCTGTTGGGCTGTTTGCAGGAGCCAGCTGGAGACTGCAGTGTCCCCTACAGGCAGCCACAGGCTTCCCCTGCCTGCCATATGTGCCCTGCAACACGTGTTTACTACCTTGATTTTCTTATATAAAATGTCTCAGGTTGTCCCAGCCAAAGTCTGAGTGCTCTTCCTGGGACTTCAAGTAGATCTTTTCAGACGGTGGTGAATTTTTGAGGGGCGTAGGGTGTGAAGCTGCACTCGGAAGGGCTTTGCAGGTGGCCTGGCAGAGTGGCCTGGCTGCTGTGCAGCCCTGTCATCAGCAGCCCCTTCTAGGCACAGGGACAAGGATTCAGTCTCCTAGACACCACGTACCGTACCTCCAACAGCCACGTTACCAGCCTCCTCATCGACAGCCCTGCTGCATGGGGCAGGGCGGGGGGACACTACACGTTAGAAGGGCAGGAGGGTGGCCCGGCCTGCACGACTGTGGAGCCCCGTCACCAGGCTGGGAAACTGGCCCACAGGATCTGATTCTGCAGGGGCATCACCTTCAGGCCCTTGGTGACGTCAGGCTGCGGTGTAGGTGTGTGGTTTAAGAGGTTCCCCCTCCCCAAGACTCCTGTTCACTCAGACCCCAGAATGTGACCTTGAGAGAGGGTCTTTGCACATTAGATCGTTAACCCGTCATTTGCTCCAGCCCACAGGAAACCCCCGGGGACAGCAGAGAGGATCCAGGGGGTCCTCCTCCCCCAGCTGGCCCTGGATGACAGCTGGGAGCCTGTCCACTGCCTCCTTCCTGCAGGGGCCCCCCCGCAGCACTGTGGTCACCTGCACTGTGCTGTCCACCTCTCCCAGCGCCAGGCTTCCAGTTCCTCCCAGCCCCACTGTGTGGGTCGGCAGCGAGTGTCCCCAGATCGCTGCTATTGTGTCCCTGCACCTGGTACAAGTCCACCAGCCGGGCGGGTCCCTTGGAGCCTTGGTGTCTGATTTCAGGGCCTTCTCAGGACTTCCCTCTCCCTCACCTCTTAATCCATTGTCTTGGTTTCAGCCACTGAATGCTGTCCCCTCTGTCACCCTGCCCCCATTCCTCCCAGTTCCTCTCCCAGAACTGCGGCCTTCCTCCCCGCCCTGGAGCTGCATCTCTGAAGGGATCACCTGATGGCCGGTCCTGTGCTTCCGGACTCCTCCTGGCTCTCGGGGTTCTCAAGGGGGTGGAGGCAGCGGGGGCTGGTGGCACCCAGGGAGCTCTCCAGGACAGGGCTGGCGGGGAGACGCCTGGGCTCCCTCCTGCTGGACATCCCTCCTCCTGTGGCCACGGACTCTGCAGGCCCGAGCCCCTGTAGCCTGCAGTTCTGGGCTGATTTCCATTCAGGCTGGATCGGCTCTCTGGGCTGGTCAGGCCGCTGGGCACAGTGCCCAGGTGGGCCCCGTGGCTGGGCCTCAGAGCAGGGCCTCTCGGGGAGGAGGGCCAGGCCTGCCGGGTTCACCTCTGTCTCAGTTGTCCTG